TTGGGCGTAAAGTCCAGACCCACAAAGTTTTTAGGGACCCAACTCCCAGTATCTGTTCTGAAACTAAATAACTTGATCTAAGACAACAAGAAGATAACAAAGCAAAGACCTAAACCAAAGACTCCTAGACTTCAAATGACCTTCTCAAGTGCTGGATCCTCTTTCATTTCTTTACTAGCCACGGGGCTGTCTGTAAGGGATTTTACGTAAATGAAAAGTGCATATCCCACACACATCACTGAACTGTCATAACACCAATCCCACTTTCAGCTGGAATTTTCAACTCTTGTGCTGAAGTTGTTTTCTCATAATTAGTCAGTAAGGGGATTTTAAAATATTTTTTACATTGAAAATATAAGGAAAAATACACTAACATTACTTTTCATCTGATTCTCTGCCATCAGAGCTAAGTATAGGGACAAAAATAGGCCAACTAAGAAGTAAACTACAACTGAAGAGAAACCCAGATCTGCAAATCAGTTATGTGAGTCCATACAAGAAATTTCAACTATTTCCTCAAATTTCACCACTGCTGTGTGGTAGGAAATAAAATTAACTTGCCTACCTCAATGTGATGTTGTGAGGATTAATTGGACAAAACTCATCAAGCAATGTAATACACAGTATCTTGCTGCAGCTTGTTTTCTTATCCTACTAAAAGCAAATCAAAGACCTTAGTCTTTGCTGGAATCTGTGATAGACTGTTTTAAAAATTTACAGATAATTTCTTTCATAGTGACATTTTTTCTATCCCAAACTGTATCTAAAAAAAACCATTTTTTCACACCATTATTTCTCAGCATATGCATCACTTAAAATACATGTATCAACAGGGCATATGGCACCTACTTGAATTAAATTTAAAATCTTCTCCTTTCAAAATATTTGCTTATTGATAATGACTATAAATCCATACTAGCAAAATGATACATACTTATTCCTTTTAAAGACTCAGAGACTTTTTTTCTTCAATGGAGAATGCAAGAAAGATCCTTACAACTGCAGTGTAGTTACTTTCCAAACTACATTACAGTGACTAATTTCCTGTGACAAAAACTTGCCTAAACTACTATTGAGTCTCAAAATTATTTGTCCCCCATTTAAAAAAAATATCTTTCCTACATTCGCTAAATCCTTAAATTGTTTGGCATAATCAGCAATATTGTCATTCACAAACTGTTTGGCATGACCAGCAATATTGTCATTCACTCAAATCTTATCATTTTCCACAAAATCACTATTGAAGTATGCATCTGTTGTGTGTTTGCAGAACCTGCAGTTATCAAGGATTCCAAAGTGCACGTTATCAGCTGCTACAAAAGGGCTATGAAATCTGTCATCCTTTGTGCACCAAACGTGACACTAAATAACCTTCAGCAAATACACTAGTGGCAGCTAGGGTCACAGGAGTAGAGATTATACCTTCTGATTAGCTCTCCATACAGAGTATCATACATTTAAACTGATACATGGAGAATAAAGACAGCTCTTAGTTTCATTCTGTGAAGACAAAATTTCTCATACTTTCTGCCAGAAGATAGATGCCTTTGATATGTGTATATGTATGTGTATAAATATGTGTATATATATATTCTGGCATGAAATAAAAAGACTCAGTAATACAACTTCAAACAGAAGGTGGGATTTTAAACTTACAGAAGACAGAAAATGCAAAGTTACTATTCCTGCATGGTTTAGTTCCTATGGGTTTGCTCCTGCACAGCTCTGTACTGTGGTCATGCTCCAATAAGGAAGTGAAACATGCCAGCAATCTCACTCATTTCAAAGGATCTACTCATAAAATTTAATTTATGCAACTTGCTTAAGCATTTCACTTAATCAAAAGGAGATCACTAAGCACTTTGCAGATCTGGGACCCATATGTCTAAGGACAGCACCAGTCATGTAGTGTTAAGGTCACAAAAAATTTTCCTTACCACCCATGCAGTCATTTTGAACTTTTTGGTATTACCAAATTTAGTGAAAACTCCTCCAAGTGCTCAGTTATTTGGAAAAACTAATGTAGCCATTTGGGGGTACAAGTAATGGTTAAAAAAAGGAAAAATCAACCAACACTCTTTCCTACTGCTTACAGTCTAAGAAGGTTTGAGTAGAAAAATGAAACTGTTTTCCATTAAAAATAAGAAGTGGGAATTTAGGAAACTAAGATTGTTCTGAAAACAGACTTCAGAAAAATCACTTGCTGTTCACATAAAACCTGTCTGACAGTGTTTTGACACATATCAGAGGTGAAGATTTTTCACCACTTCATAAACCCAGCTAAAGTAGCTGCATAATAAAGGCTCACAGATTGAGAGAAAATGTCTGAAAACTGTCTGAACGATGAGCAGAACAGAAACTGCTCTGAGGCATGATCTCATCCTTACTGCCACAGAGATGTACTTGCCCAATTTCATTTCTGCACCTTGGCTGCTGCTGAAATTCAAAGGTAAGAAGGTCTCCTTCCCACAGAACTGCCAAGGGAAGACAAGTTGAAGGTGACACAGCACCATTCTCCTCCCTGAGTATTAGAGCTACCTATGGCACTGCCTGTCACCTGTCAGGGGACAGGGAACAACCATGCACCTTCCTTTCATCATGGTGGCAGAGAAAAATATAGAGAAAATATATTACCTTAATTTTCTGTTAATATAAGCTGTATTTAACTGCTTCACACCATACCTAAAAACTGTGTTGAGAAAGTTCAAATTTCAGTTAATTTTTAAATAGCAAAACAATGTGAGAATATAATATTTCCTTGTTCAGCTGTTCTAGAATACAGATGTCAAGCTTTGCATAAAAGATACATAATCATTAATGGTAACTCATCCTAGAAAGCAAATCATTTTAGTATCTACCTTGTCTGCTCCTTTGAGATAGATAGAAAAAATTGGAACAAAAAAAACCAAACAAACAAACAAACAAAAATAAAAACCAAAATAGGAAAGCCCCTCTGAGAAAACATGGCAGGAGTTTTTATGTTTTATCTAACTGAGCAATAAAACCAAATTCCAGAAAAAAGCTAAAAACTGAACCTCAATGGTGTATGTGTTCTCAAAAAAAGCCAGGAATCATGAACTAAGTTGCACCTGGCAAGGCTAATAGTTGAAAACAAAATATTAACCTGTAGTTGTTGATGAAGTTATTCATACATGTAACTCACATCCAGCAGTTTTCAAGTGTGTCCCAAAATCTGCAGACACATTATAATGTGCTGTTGAGATGAGGCCAGAATTGCAGGACTCGTCCTTTTGAAATCACAACTCATACAGGAGAAGGTAAAGAATACACAGATAACTTGGCTTAAGCATGAATGCTGAAAATTTAACAGGATGACCATAATTTCTTCTTACAAAATGACCCCACCAAAACCACATGTACATATAGGATGTTTTAAGGAAAATCACCAGCTTATGGAAACTAGTATTATCTTTTACAGATTTTATTAATCTTCAGCTCAGCTGGTATTGCAAGTGAAGCATTTAATAAGACAAATCTGGATTTCAGGCAGCAGTAGCAGAATAATGTCCTCATATTTTTTTAAGAATATTTTCTATTGTGTTTATTTAATTTGGGATTTTTTCAACAGGTCGGCCAGTTAGAATTTAATCCCACAGCTTGAACTGGATGTATCACTAGAGCATACACCCCTTCCTCAGGCAATTACAAGGCAGAAAGTAAATCCAAAGTCAGTTATCAAGATTTTTATCTTCTCAGTTACAAACACCTGGAAATTAGAAATTACAACATAATGGTGGGGCAGTAGTAATTTTATGGTTATGTAGGGAGTGAAAATTACACTGTTTTGTGGTCTGCAACTTGGTGCGTTCATTCTTAGAGTAGTGCCAAGAGCTTTATTAAACTCAGAGATCAGTGCTAAAATGCATAAAGATGGAAAACAAATATATTAAGCCTTCAAGCTCTAATCCTAGGGAGTCTTAAGATACCAGATCTGAAATTCACCTTCTCAAGCACATCCTATAAATCTCTATAGGGAAGCAATCCAAAGACCAGTGGGAAAATTCTTTCCACTGGTTTCTTTGGATTTTGGATAGGGCTTCAAAAAACACAGAATTCAAGGAGAGCTACAGGAGAGCACCCAGAATATCATTTTCCAATGGTATAAATCATTAATCTATGACTCCTGAAGTTCCTGAGATACCAGTTTATGTTGAAATCAAATTGTAAGATGGGAGGGAATAGGTACAGGGGTCAAGGGGTCAAGGGACAGCAAGCAGAATAATATGATTTCAGAACATAATCATGATTAGGGAAGAGCAACACAAACAGTGTCAGAGCCCATGAACTTTCCCAGCACCAGTAATCAGAGTAATATTTTAATGACTGCTATATGTGCGGGGCAATAAAAGTAGACAATTTTGTTGTGTTGCATAAATAACCAAACTGTTTACTCTTCAACTTTTTTGGTAATTTAAGCACAAATAGCTTAAAATTCTAACACTTGAAAAATTCCATGTATTTGGAAAAAATGGATTTTAGTAATCTGCAGTGTTGGACAGTGCGTGCACAGAAGCTGTAAACCTGAGAACACGTACAGTAGGCATTTTCCAACAATACAGTTCTACCATTAAAGCAAAGGTCTTCTTAGTGTTGCAACACATCCTGTGTTGTGAAACAGGAGCAATTTGTTTAAGTGACAAATGAAAACAGCTTACCTAATCCTTTTAGGAGATCCTATCAGTTAAGAAAATAAATGCAAAAGGTCTTCAAATGAAAAAGCCCACCTTACAAAAAAAAAATTGTTTTCATGATATTTGTGTTCAAACACAGCAGGAGCTGTAGGAGTCTAAATAAAACTATCAAGGTAACTACACTGGTTGGTTTTTTTCCACACAGATCTCAATTTAAGTAAGTTTTAAAGTTTTTAAGAATACTCACCATCAGTTTGAGCCATAAGTGACAGTTCTGGATTTCAGGGCAGTTACTCAGATTTTACTACTTAGCATTCAAAGAATCATTTTTTTAAAAATCAGACTTACATTGTTTTTTCATCTCCTTAAGTTGATCCTTAAAATACATATATTTTTCATTCCTTTGTAAATCTGAGTCACTGTTCATGCTCTCCATTTCAAGGAATTTTTCTTGTGCCAAGTTTTCTAAATCTGGTAAATTTTCTGGTTTTTCTTGTTTTACCTGTAGGGAAGAAGAAATAGAATGTATTCATTATGATACATTTTAATACAAAGCAGAAGACATCAAGCAAAACTTCATTAGCATAATCTCAGTTTCTTTTGACTACAGTTACGCTTCCTGCTCTGAAGCCATAACCTCCAAGTAACTCATTTCAGCAAAAGTAAGTATGAAATGTAGATATTAGATTGTCAGTGTCATTTAACTCATTTCTGGGTATTTCTCACAGTAGCAAAAGGGAAAACTGAACCTTGCAGTCAAATTTACCTCTGTGAGTGGCGAAGGTAAATATGTTAACAGGAACCAGCGTAACACTTGATGAGAATGAAACCAAAGTCTACATCTCTGTCCAGAAAGCAAGAAGATAACAGAAATCTGAAATAACTTTTAAGAGTTCTGCAAAAACCTCCACTCTCATCACTTCGGAATCAGGTTTACAGAAGCCCATAATCTACATGCAAGATTACTGTGATAACACCAGCAAGAACAGTACAGATAATGTGAAAGGAAACCACCTCAATTTATTTGTGCTGTGTGAACAAGAAGCATTAAGCCACACAAGCAGGCAAAAACACAGTTTCTTGAAAAGTACTTACTTACAGCAAATACATCTGGAATGATCTGAAGAGTAAATACCCAGAAAAGGGAAGTCATCACATAGGCAATATTAAGATAATCTAAGAATGCAAAAATCACTTTGGGAACCCCCTAGAATCAATAATTGGAATTCTCTGTTTCTCAAGGCAACATTAAATTCTAGTGAAGTATAACTTTGACAGTTCTTCATAAGAACTAGCTCAGGGACTGTGTTAGGGACTGTGCTGTGCAGTGAGAATCAGCAATAGCACCAAGTCAGAAAGAAGGTGGACATCTGTCAAATCCTTAATGCTAAGCATTTTCTGAATCAGAAAAAAGCTACTTCTATCCCAAAATCATGTCAAAATATGACAATCTGAAAAAAAAAAAAAGGAGGTAAGCATGATTTCTGCTGAGCCACTCTTCCCCTACCACACATACTAAATTCTGCCCTTCACCAGACCGTGACACTATTCATTGTGAAAGACAGGAAAAAAGGAACCTACTGAGAAAACAGTCCCACTTCATCAAATCATTTACAGGTTTAAAAGTTTACAGAGACCTTGGAAATCCTACAGAATATATTTTGTTTCAGGAGTCAAATAAATAAATGTTCACATAAAAATGGACTTAGCAGATACATAAAATGAAAAAGAGCCAAACTTTACTATTGCTTAAGCAAAGCAAAGTAATCCATAGAACTATTACTTCTTCCAAGAGCAAACACAGTTTGGCACATTTACTTTCAGCAGACACAAGTTGTGGCAAGAAGAAAAATAAGAAAAAAACATGCACTGCCAGGTGATAGCATGAAGTTTTCAAAGGCACCTGGAGATAAAAGATCACCTACCACAACATCCAGCTGTAAAAGGGAAAGACTCGGTAACACTTTGGTACCAAAGGAATACAGTGAGGTTTTATTGTTTTGTGGAAGTGTATTTCATGTAATTTTGATAATAATTTTAGAATGTGTGTTCTCAGAGGCGAAGGGTGGAATGTCGTGGTTTGACAGGAAGTAGGTTTTCTGGGATATGCTGTGGTCACCAATAGGTGTCCAGATTTTAATATTGGCACGTGGTGTGGCCACTGGGGACAATGGATACACCTCTGAGAACACAGGGGTTAAAAAGCAGAGCACTCCCGGGGGAAGCTCTCTTGGGTTTCGGATCTCTCCCCCGTCCAGCTGCTGCTGCTGGGTGGGGGACGGGAGCCATGTGGCCGGGTGAGGTAGGCCGGGGCTTTGGACAGAGATGGCAGGTGAAGAGGCCCCAGCATGGAAGGGTGGGAGAAGCACCAGGAGGTATTGGGCAGCCCCCCCAGGAGAGAGAGAGAGAGTACAGCCTGTGCCAGTGACTGCTACCTTGGAACTTGATAACATGTGCCGGCAGCACGGCTGAGAAGGAGAAGAAGGGGGGGAGGGTGGGAATGCAGCAAGAAGGTGTCCGGCCACTTGTGGGAGCTTTTAACCCTTTTTTGGTCAATGAAAACTTTGCAGAACATTAACCTTTCCTAGAAGAGAGATAGAGATGAAATGGAAGAAGGAAACGTGCAAGTGTGAAGTTCTGGGCAAGTGAAAGATGTTGGAAGAGTAGAGAAGAATCTTAGGTGGGAAGAGATGATGAAGTGGTTTTAACTGGACTCTTCTTGTTATAGCCATGGACAGAACCATGTTTCCTGTGACACAGAGACTGCATCCAGGGGGAGTCAATGGCTCAGAGCCAAGAGGGTTCAGTGTTGGTGCCCCTCGGCCCCAGGATGTGAAATTTGGGGGGGACAGGTGTCCCAAAGGAGAGACTGTGCCCTTTTTGGATTGGGACAGAGCATCCTTAAAAAGACAACCTTAGAAGCAGCTCTGGTCCATGTGCAGTGGTGAGAGCACTGGACATGGAAGAGGTCACGATGGCAGATGTTCTCCAGGCGGTGCCATGTGTGACAGGAAACACATGAGGTTTCAACGGCGTTTCCGGGGGAAACCTATGGCACAAGAAGGACTCCTCTCCTCTTGATGAATTGAGAATTGATTATCTAAAGGGTGGTGATGGACTGAGAGTTGAAATTTGGGGGATGGATGTATTGGAATTTGGTGGGGGGAGGAGGAAATGTTTTTGGAAGGTTTTTATTTTCCCTGTGTATTTCTTTTTACTTAAGAGTTGTAGTTTAGTTAATAAAGTTTTTTTTTCTTTATTTCTAAGTGGGGGCCTGCTTTGCTTATTCCTGGTCACATCTCACAGCAGACACCAGGGAGAAGATATCTTCATGGGGGCACTGGCATTGTGCCAGCATCAAACCATGACACAAAGGAATACAGTGACTATGGAAGACCAACAGCATGTCATCAGAGATGCTTAGACTGCTGCAGGAGCCAGGCAGGAATGTAGAGTCCTTATCCTGTGAAACCTGACCAAAGGAGCAAAGGAAAACAGCATCCTGTGCCCAGTGCAGTGAGGACAATTACTCACACTCAAGTGGTTTGCCTGTGCCAGCATCACAGCACACTGCTGCAAAAGAAGACCTATCACAACCCCAACCAGCATTGTTCAGTACTCAGCTGGAGAAGAAACTTGGCTATCAAGTGTATGCAAGAACAAAAAGGCACTTACTAAATCAAAATTCATTTAAAATGCAAGACATTATAAAAGAATGCTTTGATCTGGACTCATGTAGTGCAAACATATTCCTTTCTGCAACATCACGCTGATTTCACCGACATTCTCTCTTTAACATAAAAGTAACATGTAGACACACACAAGAATTGTCCAAATAACAACCCACCATTCAGATCTGCCCTCATGACAAATGAGGGCACTGTAGACATATAGAAGATCCAGCTGAGTATACTAAAAGTAACCCTGAAGTGCTTCTAAGTTGCTGAGACTGACACCCAGAGTAAAATAAATTATGGGGACATTCATCACAGGCATCCATCAGCAGTAACGACAATGTCAATAATCTTTTCCTCTCCACAGGGACCAGATTACACATTGATAGAGTTACATCAGGATCTCTTTATCTTGACTCATGGAAGATTTGAGTGCAGATATGCATCAACATAACATCTTCAATCATACCCTCAGACTGAGAGGTGAAAAGAAGGGCACAGTCAATGTTAGTTCAAACAGTGGTTCTCATCTCCAACTTCCAGAATTAAAAGACTTTACACATATGAGCAGAAATAAAGCCAGGAACTGTAACTTACAGCATTATGCTACCAAAAAGAACATATGTTTGAGAGGGTGCATTACATCACTCTGTGCTGGTGCTACCTCACCTCAAGTGCTGTGTGCAGTTTTGGGCACCACAATCTGTAAGAAAGATACAAATCTGTTAGCAAGCACCCAAAGGGGGGCCATGAAGATGGTAAACAGCTTAGAGGAGGAGCTGTATGAGAAATGGATGAGGTCAGCCCAGAGAAGAGGACACTAAGGGGAGAACCTCACTGCAGTGTGCAGCCTCCCCACGAGGGGAAGTGGAGGGGCAAGTACAGACCTCTGCTTTTTGGTGGCCAGCAACAGGACCCAAAGGAACAGCATAAAGCTGTGTCAGGGGTATTTAGGTTGGATATTAGGAAAAGGTTCTTCACCCAGAGGCTGGCCAGGCACCAGAACAGGCTCCCAGGGAAGCGGTCACAGCGCCGAGCCTGACAGAGTTCAAGAAACATTCGAACAATGCCCTCAGACACATGGTGGGATTCTTGGGGTGTCCTTGGCAGGGCCAGGAGCTGGACTCGATGGCCTTTGTGTCTCTCTTCTAGCTCAGGATACACTTATGACTGTATGCACACAAACTTTGTCTGTGCCACTGTGGAGCTACAAAAATTTGCATGAAGACATCTCACCAACCTCAAGAGAATGCTTATATAAAACTCTCCCTCAGCACCTAACTAATCACACAGCTTGCTGCCATAGGTCTATTCAAGTAAGAATAGCCTGCTATTTGCTAAGGGCAACATGAACAATTCCACCAGCTATCGAGAGGAAAAAAAAAGTCATTCACACCAGCTAAATTCCCAATAGCAACACATTACTAGATTGTGAGGACAGCCCAGAAATGCAGCACATATGACAAAGGCTCAGACAACCACCTCATACAGAAACCTAGAGTCAGATGTGAGAGATGTTCAAAGAATGCACTTTCTTGTAGTTTAACTTCTTTCATGTTTACAATTTAAATTCAGTTTCTGTTCACTTCCACATGATTGCTTTCATTAAAATGATTAGTAGAGACACCATTCCTGACCACACTCAGTACTGTACCACACACATGCTATTACTGAAATGCCAGGTAGACCTTCTGGATAGTCAACACATCACAGGTGAATAATAAGGCATGTCCACCCACTATAATAACATGCAAACATTTTGCTCTGCACAAGCAATTTCTCTTTGGTGCTGCATATCCTATGCCTAAGAGAGGGTTAGAAGAGGGTT